ACACCTCTAGAGATGACAAGGGACTTCAGTATCTATAATTATTCTGTCTTTAGCCCTTTTGCTTAGGTTGCCAACCAGGATACCAATTATTATGGCTTTTTGTGACAGAGAATATTCTACTGAAGACTGTTTTGAAAGACATTGCAAACTAATATCACGTAGGCCACTGAGCTGGATTTCAAAGTGACCCCAAAATAAGATTGTGTTTCATTACAAGTCCTCTGAGTCATCCAGTCTGTTTTAAACCAGTCTTTAAAAAAAGTAGCTAACTATCTATCTAGACCACCCAACTGTGTACCAGTTTGGAAACCATCCAAGTTGCAACTCTGTACATTATTAGCACTTAAGAAGCATATTATTCAATGTCCCAATGACCTCATCAGTGTTACAGGGGCAATTTTCATGGAAGGATGAACAGTTAGCTCATGAGTAAATTCTCTAGTGTGCTATGGTCCAACAATCTCTCCTTCAAAATCAGTCATGCATGTCTTCTTTCATCTCCCCTTGCTAAAAGATAGACTTACTTTGGATAACACATGGAAAGTCTCACTAACTCAGTCTCATATTCCTTTGAGATAGTATAATGAGGCATTGATAAAGTACAGGCTAGCATGGTCTGTCTTTAAGGGATCTCCTTCAACATTCCAGTACAGTGGAGCTACTGGTAATTCAAAATGATTGTCAGCCCCAAAAGTTCTTATTTTTAAGTATTGTGATGGATCCTCCTCAAGTTAACATGTGCAAAGACAGATTGTGATCAACATCCAAATTACTACTGAAGGAGGCAGAATTTTTTCAGGCAGCCTGCTTGAAGTGGAAGAAATAGTATCATGAATATGAATAGCATGTATTATCTTGCCTCAGCACTCTTACCCTGCTTCAAAAACTCCACTACTATGATTACAGACAGGAGGAAAAAAACATCCTTTATGTTGCTGAATATATAGACTTGTGGTGAGGCAGTGGGCAACTTTTTCTGCTGAGTCAGCATTGAACTAGTGCCGCAGTAGGTTGCTTTGGAGCACTATGTTGGTGGATGACACCCTCTTCTGGATGGAAAGCTACATCCTTAACCACCTGTCACTAAAGATGCCCCGGCACTTTTCACAAAAGTAGGATAAATGAATAATAAAAAATAACTATCATGGGGTGAGAAAGAAGAGAAACTAATAATATGTATGATTTCAGAGTAACAGCCATGTTAGTCTGTATTCGCAAAAAGAAAAGGAGTACTTGTGGCACCTTAGAGACTAACCAATTCATCGGATGCATACTGTGGAAAATACAGAAGATGTTTTTATATACACAGACCATGAAAAAATGGGCGTTTATCACTACAAAAGGTTTTCTCTCCCCCACCCCCTCTCCTGCTGGTAATAGCTTATCTAAAGTGATCACTCTCCTTACAATGTGTATGATAATCAAGGTGGACCATTTCCAGCACAAATCCAGGTTTTCTCCCCCACCCCCCCACAAACCTACTCTCCTGTTGGTAGTAGCTTATCTAAAGTGATCACTCTTCTTACAATGTGTATGATAATCAAGGTGGGCCATTTCCAGCACAAATCCAGGGTTTAACAAGAACGTCTGAGCAACAGTGGGGGGGGGAAGGAATAAACAAGGGGAAATAGGTTACTTTTTATAATGAATCAACCATTCCCAGTCTCTATTCAAGCTTAAGTTAATTGTGTCCAATTTGCAAATTAATTCCAATTCAGCAGTCTCTCGTTGGAGTCTGTTTTCAAGTTTTTTTGTTGAAGGATAGTCACTTTGAGATCAGAAATCGAGTGATCAGGGAGATTGAAGTGCTCTCTGACTGGTTTTTGAATGTTATAATTCTTGACATCTGATTTGTGTCCAGTTTACCCAATGTGTACATGGCAGAGGGGCATTGCTGGCACATGATGGCATATATCACATTGGTAGATGTGCAGGTGAACGAGCCTCTGATAGTGTGGCTGATGTTATTAGGCCCTGTGATGGTGTCCTCTGAATAGATATGTGGGCACAGTTGGCAACGGATAGGTTTGTTGCAAGGATAGGTTCCTGGGTTAGTGGTTCTGTTGTGTGGTATGTGGTTGCTGGTGAGTATTCGCTTCAGGTTGGGGGGCTGTCTGTAGGCAAGGACTGGCCTGTCTCCCAAGATTTGTGAGAGTGTTGGGTCGTCCTTCAGGATAGATTGTAGATCCTTGATAATGCGTTGGCGGTATTTTAGTTGGGGGCTGAAGGTGACGGCTAGTGGTGTTCTGTTATTTTCTTTGTTAGGCCTGTCCTGTAGTAGATGACTTCTCCAACGCATTATCAAGGATCTACAACCTCACGAAAGCTTATGCTCAAATAAATTGATTAGTCTCTAAGGTGCCACAAGTACTCCTTTTCTTTTTAATAATATGTATGATTGTAAAAAAAAATTGTTTTAACCTTGGAAGGTATTCAGATATAGTGGTGATAAATGGACATATAGGTAGGGTAAGTAAGATGCTCGATAAGACTATTGGACCTAATATCCTTGCTAAAGCAATCTGGGAGCTATGAGGGTGGAGGGTGCTATGTAAAACTAAATGATTACAGGACAAAGTGTTCAGTGTGAATTAAACATTGTATAATTCCTATGTGTGGTCACAAGAAGTATAGCTGAATAATGCAATATTTTACCTAATTTGTTAAACCATGAGCTTGGTTCACGAGATGCAGTAGCTACTAGTCTGGCATAGAATGCCATGATAATTGCTTTATTGTTATGTCATCAAGATGGAAAGAGCAGTTGAAGACCCTAAAAGCTATGATTTTTCAATTCAAAATGAGGCAGTTTGTCTTGGTATATTATTCTAGTTTCCATAGTGGAGTCAATCTGATATGAAGAAAAGTTGGGGGGGGGGGGGGTTGGGTTTGTTTGGTTTTTGGAATTTTTTAAAAGTGGCTTTATATGCAAAGCTGTTAGTCTGAAATGCAGCATTTATCATTTAAACCTACCTGCCCTAGTTTTATACTTGCAAAAAAGGAGCATAAATCTTTAACCTTTGGATAGGTTTTCAATAAAATCTCCTTATCCACATAAAGCCATTGGATATTAGATCAGCATAAACATGGATCTCCTGGTTCCTCTCCTTTCTTACCCCACTCCTCCCCGGCTGTGCCCACCACATCAGCCCATCTGGCTTTCCCCTTTCATGACACACTGGTGTTCAGTAGTCTTGCACAGCCACTCAGCCAATGAGCACTCAGCACAACCTCAGAGTTTAAGTAGTATAGGACAATTCACCTTTATTAGTACATCTATAGATAGTCCTCTGTGACCTTGTTTTACTGTTAATGATCATGAGAAGTGTGATATATCATTTACCGTGGGGTACCTGGTGGGAGGTTATCCAGCTATCCCGGAAGAAGGACAGGAGACACTTGATATTGATTTTAATCAGGCCACAACTTCATTATTAGATGTCTGGGACTTCCCGCTGGATAAAAGTGTACAGTGCAAGCAAATCCATGTTCATTCAAATAACGACCCGAGGCTTCCACCAGCCCCTTTCATTTTCCATCCAGGTCCCACAACCAACCTGTGGCTTGGACCTTACCATCCATCCACCCCTCATAAGTGGGTTAAGGTGGGCTATAGGAAAGGGAGGGTTGGCTCCCTGCTGTACCAATCATAGGAGCCCCAACCCCTCCACTCCATTCCATTAACCAGCATCTCTTTTTCAAGTCCATTACCAGGCCATTTATCTGGTCACTGGATGCTTTCCCTATGGAGTACCTGCACTGGGCATCCACCCCACACTTACAAAACAAGTTGAGACATATAGCCTAACCACTTTTCTCCTCACCATAATAGGTCCTCCCTGACACCCGCTGTGGAGGAGGCGAAAAAACCCCACTCCACCGAAGCCAATATGGTGGCAAGGGAAAAATTCCTTCCCAGCCACCCTACAAAGGAGCGAGTAGCACAATGCCCACAGCAGGTCCTAACCCAGCCAGACTGTAGCACCTTGAGGGGAGGGAGAGTGGGTGCTCCCTTTCCTGCTCCATGGAAAATGGGCTTCCAATGTCCAGGGTTACACCTTTTAAAGACTTCTGCCCTCCCATTCCCAGGGGCTGAGTCAGTGCTGCAAAGCTGACCACTCCCCACCTTTTTGCAGTGGTTACTCACCTCCTTCCCCATCCCTCCCATAAAGCACTACTTCCTTCCTCTGGCAAGCCCAGACAACGTTCCCCCCGCCCACTTCAGGTGCAGTGCAGTCATTTTCAGTCCTGATGAAACAATACAGTAATGCAAATAGAATGATTTCCTGACCTCTCTTCAGACTGGATATAATATGTGGATTTAAATCACTGCTTCTCTCACAACCCTCTCAGTGGCATCAGACAGACCAATATACTGAGAGACAAGGTGGGTGAGGTGATATCTTTTATTGGACCAACTTCTGTTGGTGACAGAGACAAGCTTTTGAGCTTACACAGAGCTCTTCTTCAGGTCTGGGAAATGTACTCAGTGGATACATTGGTAAATACAAGGTGGAACAGATTGCACTGTGGTCATTCTCAACCCTCTGGCTGTGATACCTATGAGAATCTCTGCAACATGTAACAGGACACTTCAGAGAATATTAAAAAATGTTGCCTTTTTATTATAATACATTTTCAGAGGTCACTGTAATCCCAAAGGCAAGCCTTTAAACCAATTATCTGAAGAGAAGCCAGGAAATTAGCTAGTGTATCTTTTATTATGACAGATTTTTTTTTAATTTGCATCATAAAAGTATTAGTTTTCCTAAAGCTTTGTTGCCTGCTAATGAAGATATCATTGTGCTATCATACAACTGTTGATAACCACAACCCCTTAAAATTTTAAACCAAAAGGTATTTATCTTAAACCAAAAGGTATTTATCTCATATTTATCTCAAGCAAAAGTACAATATTTGGTTATTATAATGTATTATTTTCAGTGCCTCTTTTCAGTTTTAGTTTGAAACTCTATTTTTGGTTTTGTTTTTGCTTGTAGTAGCCAAGGACGTGAACATTTTTTTTGATGAGTTAGAAGAAGTAAACAGCCCTTGCAAAGATAATGACTCTCTTCTTCACCATGGTAATTTGACCAGTACTTCAGATGAAGCCAGCAGATTGGAAACAGTTGGAGAGGTAAGAGCCAATAGACTAAACCATACAGGGAATAAATGTAATTTTTTGAAAGGCTTATTCACTGCAGGCCCACTCTTATCCAATCCTGTGATCGTGTGTGTGGGCCCTTAAAAATGACCTCTGCTCTAAAATCATAACATGGAAATATAAAATCTTTTGGGTTCAGAATCCCTTAATCATTCTTGGGACCCTTCTGTGAACCCTCTCCGATTTATCAACATCCTTCTCGAATGGTTGATGCCACAACTGGACACAGTATTCCAGTAGTGATTGCACCAGTGTGTTATTGGTTCATCTGGCCTATCAATGTGTCACTGCATTAATCCTCAGGGACTGGAATGATCTCATGCATTTGTGATAGACAGCACTGGCTACCAGACATGGGACATATGTCACCATCCACTGGGTAGTGCAGAGAAAACAAATCTGATCATGCAAAATGGTGGTAAGTAGTATGTACAGAGATGGGAGTTGTGGCTTTGCAGCATACAATTCCCCCCCTTCCCATGCAAGGCTTGCAACATTAACTTCCTCTTAGTGACTTCTTGCTTCCTCAGGGCTGGGGTCCACTAGACAGAGAACTGAGGATCAGGCAGTTTGTGCATTAGGCCACAATCCACTGGGCTGAGCAACTCTGTTCCCAGAGATCTGTCTCAAATGCAGTTTTTCGCTTATACCACCAGTGGTGTGTCCAGTAGGGGAGGACTAGTCAGATCTTCAGTGGAATAGGAGTAAGTAAAGCCAAAATTTTTCAAAGTGGGAGCACAAAGCTTAGGCCCCATAATCATAGAATCATAGAATATCAGGGTTGGAAGGGACCTCAGGAGGTCATCTAGTCCAACCCCCTGCTCAAAGCAGGACCAATCCCCAATTAAATCATCCCAGCCACGGCTTTGTCAAGCCTGATCTTAAAAACTTCTAAGGAAGGAGATTCTACCACCTCCCTAAGTAACGCATTCCAGTGTTTCACCACCATCCTAGTGAAAAAGTTTTTCCTAATATCCAACCTAAACCTCCCCCACTGCAACTTGAGACCATTACTCCTTGTCCTGTCCTCTTCTACCACTGAGAATAGTCTAGAACCATCCTCTCTGGAACCACCTCTCAGGTAGTTGAAAGCAGCTATCAAATCCCCCCTCATTCTTCTCTTCTGCAGACTAAACAATCCCAGTTCCCTCAGCCTCTCCTCATAAGTCATGCTAAATAATTCATATTTAGGCATGAAAAAAAATAAGTGGCCTGACTTTTAAATGATCTGAGCACCTACAACTCGCAGTGGTCGCCCATTCAACCTTAATTCACCCCTTGACCCCTCCACCTTGGGCATATGCATTATATTTTTAATTACATGATCACATACTATTTTTTCCACAGTATCCCGGCCTCATTCAATGTACAAAATGGGCATGCAAAATGAGTTGCAAATGGTTTCACTACAGTTACACAGACAACTATAGATCTGTCACTTCCTAATCTTTGAGGGCTTGATTTTGAAGCCTAAATAGCATTATTTTAACGTAGGTTTTTTCCTATGTCATTATTATTTATACTACACTACCGCCAAAAATGTGGTAGGCCCTATACAGACACATCAGAAGATGCAGCTCCTGCTCCAAAGAATTTACAACCTAAAAAGTAGTGACGGAAAACTATATACATGAAAAACATAGTCCCTCTTCAGACCATAACTGTACTTGAGTGCACATATTCCTGCTTATTCTTCTTTCCTATAGTCATAATCCTTAGTGGCATTACAAGTTATTCTCCAGCTACCAAACATAAAGTCACATACAGAGGATTATGATTTCAGGTGGGAATAAGCAACAAGAGCAGATGAGCTCTTTAGACCCAAAGATCCTATTTTCATACAAATGTCCCTCGTAATGAAAAACGAAGGACCAAAAGATATGGGAAATATGATAAAGCAAATCTGCTTTTAAGTGAAAGGTGCTTCAGCGTTTCTCATGGTGAATTGACTGCTCTTTAAAAGGAAGTGCAGGTAAGCAGCTTTAAAATTCCCTTGTCTTCCTACTCATATTTCTATTAAAGTCCTATTCAACTTTCTACTGTGATTACCGCCATGAAGTGTATTCTGACACTAGAGGGCCATAGATTTTGAGCATATCTTTGATACACATACTATATAGACTCTGTGTGTTTGTCTCTGTATGTTTATGGAACCCAACAGTGGGTCCTGCGAACATGCAATACTAATACATTCTCAGCAAAATGAGTTGCAGCTATATAAATGTGTAGGTTATAAATGAGGCTGACAAGACAGCAAGAAACTCCATCAAGAAGTGTTAGTCTTTTTTTTAAAACCAAAATGGCCTGAATTGGATGGGACAGTTTCACACTTCCACGGGAATGCCATTGTCATGGGCAGTCATATTAAGGGAAGGAGAGGGATATATCTCAGGTAGTTAGGGCCAGTCTCAGAGGTAGGTTTTTAATATCAGAACAGAGACTTTGAATTGAACTCTATATTAATTGCAGAACCAGTGCAGTGACTGGTGCACTGGAATGATGCATTCCTGGCAACCTGTGTTGCTAAGCAGATGGCTGCTGCACTGGATTTTGCTCCACCCCCAATATCAAAGCAATAACTCTCAGTTTAATTTTAAGATTTCAGAAAAAAGCCTAAGTCAAAGGTGTTATCAGAATGTGCGCGTGTGCGCACATGCAATTTGGAGTGTGTGTACCTGAGGTTATGTAACCAGAAGAATCCAAAGATAGACCAGGGAAAATGGGGCAAAATACTGACTGTTTGCTTAAGAAACATTTAAAGAAAAGCCAGTTGTATTCTGAGGAGTTACGTCAGAGTCAGAGACTAAATTCAATCATTAAAATGGGAAACAGAGGGAACTTCAATCTGGCTTTAAACATAAATCTGAATTTAACCTGTACTATGGAGTCACTATGGACACCTCCATAATATACATAAGATCACTGGGGTAGATCCTGTGCTGTACCTCCTGGACACGCAGCACAGAACCCACAGCCCAGGGGGAGAGGGGACAAAGGTGGCTTGCCTTTGAGCCACTTGTGTGTCCTCTGTATTTCCAGGTTCTACTTTAACTTACAGTGGTCTCCCAAGGGCTGCATATAGGGAATGGAGAAGGGACCACAATCAGCCCCATTGTTTTTAAAGACTTCGCTTTACCTTTCATTTACTTAAATATCCCCTTGCTTTTTTTCCCCTCCCCCCCCCAAAGTCGCAGTTTTATAGGGAAAGTTAAGCAATATGTTTTCCTGAATTATTTTCATATTTAATGCTCTGCAGAATCTTTCCCTAGTGTATTTGCTGATGTCATTTATCAGTACTATATACAATATAGATACAAATGGTCTCTCATCATTTCCTAATGCTTTTAAACATTTTTCTTGCCTTCTTTTTTACTTGACAAACCTTACATACTGTACCAACTCTGCACCTGGCAGGCATTGTGAAGTCAATATTTTAATGAGCAGTTCTTTCAAAAATTCCTCTCTTTTAGCCTGCAGCGAGCCTAGTGTCCCAAGGCTAAGGGCCATGTGGAACCTTCTCATTTGCTTTCACATTTAAACTAAGATGCTTTCTCATAACCAGAACCAAGGAGGCAAACACCAAGCACCCTAGTTGGGAATATTTATCCTTTTTTGCCTGCAAGATACATTTATTACATTGATCGTGCACAATGTTCAGACTGCGCCATTTAAAATGGGAGACAGTTCTCCTCTGGGAAAATGGTCTGAAAATGCCTGACAGTGCATTTGAAAGGCAGAATATTTGATTTTTAAGAAGGTTTTTTTTATTTAATCAGCCACAGGGTTTAGTTTATTTCTGGCAGGGATGGTTTGCCAGTATCCAGATAGAGGGTGACTCATCACAGACAGGAAACTACCTCAATTGTCTCTTCAGTTTGGCTGTGGAATGTTAACAGGAGGGCTCCTGCGAGCACTTCTCCATCACTCCACTCTCTCTGCTCATTCCAATGGCTGAAGAGTTTTGTTATTTCAGTGTGTAACACTGCTTATGTCAGGCTCTAAGCACTTTAACATTTCTTTTAAAAAAAAATCCCTCAAAACACATTTACAACCTCCACACTTTGAGCAACATACCCCATCTACACAAAAGCATAAACCTACCAGCTGACAGGGGTGGTACTGCAGACTATGGGGTGTGTGTGTGAATGTGTGTATTATATAATATAGAGAGAAACAGAGAGAGAGAGAGAGGTGGTGGTAAAAAGTGTGAGGGATAAAAGGCAAGCTTCTCCTCCACACTGACCTGACTCTTTAAAAGAGACTGGTTTCCTGGTTTATTAGATTTTTGGAAAGGAATCAGTCTCTGCTGATCTCTGTTTACTAAAGCAAAAAAAAAAAGTTAAATCTGTTTGCTTGTTGCAAGGGTAGCAAATTCTTGAACAGATCCATTATTTATAGGTAATAGTCAAGAAGTAGTGTTTTCTTTAGCTGTTGATAAAGATAGACTGTGAGTTATTTCCAGTGTGGTAAATGCAGTCGGAAGGTATGTTCACTAATTCCATAGTGTTCTAAAGTTAATCTAGTGGGACTGTGCTGGGATGGAAATAGAACTTTTGTGTCTTTGTCATGGGGGTCACTCACCAGCATGGTGCCTTCTGCTGGCCATCTCAGGGATTAGCTCTCTCAGCTGCTGCGCCCTCTCCTGGTGGTGCCTCTCCTGTTGTCGTCCTCACTTGCAGACCCACAGTGTCCTCTTCATGACTCGGGCCTCCAGCCATGCCACCATCCATGTTTTCCCTCTTCTGGGGCTGAGGGGGGAAGAAGTATCTCTGAGTTCTACAGTCCAGCCACTTCCCCAGAGGCAAGTGGGAGGGACCTGGGCCTGCCCATTACTCTGATTCCCAGCCCAGGATCTGTAGATAGCAGCTTCCTGCTGCCTCTCCTTAACTTCTCCACCAGTGCTGCTTAAGTTCCCTGGGCCACTTCTCTATGGCCCCAGCACATTCTTCACCCTCTTCTCAGGGCCTCCGGCCCGCAAGTCCCAACAGCCAGCAGCTCTGTTTTGCTCCCCAGGTCCCTGCCACTACTGCTCTGTCCAAGGTGCTAGCTTCCTTCCAACTGCAAGGCACCCAGTTCTCCCTCCTTGAGCTCCAGAGAGTAACTGCCCCTGCTCTGCCCTGTGGTGGTTCTTCTATGGGCCTCCTGAGCCCAGATTGGCTGCTCTTGCAGCCTCTCTTCCTATGGGCTGCTTCCCATGCAGCCTCCCTAGGGCTCTGTAGACCCCATGCATGCCAATGTGGGCAGATGCCTCATCACAGTCCTCTTCTGCCACCTGTGGAGTGCTACTGAAGCTGTTGCTGCCATACAGGGGACCTGCCAGCCAGGGGAGAGTTATGCTTAACACAGTGGGTCATAATCACCATCACATTGAAATGCTTCCAGTTCTTTTACTTTGTTCGTATGTGGATATTTTGGTACATTAAACTCTTAGTCTTCAGCTTTTGTTTCAGAATAACTCCATCTTTTACTTAATTTTATATGTTAAAAGTTCCTGTCAGACTTCAAGTGACATAAAATCTCCCTTTGTCTCCCTTTCCTCCTGACTTTAAAGCTTGCCTAACGAGGCATACTAGTTTTCAATCTGGGAGGTCAGTACCCCTTCTGCTTAAGCAGAGATCATCAAATCCAGACGTATTTGTGTATGGGATGCTAGACAAAGCTATCAATCTTACGAAACATCACACACAAAGCACTTAAAGACTTCTCCTAATTGCTTACCAGTCAAGCCTTTTATATTGAATCTCACTGAAATTTGTAGCTCCTTAGGTTCAAATGGTGATAGTCAAATATGCTTTGATAATTGTTTTTGCTCTTCACAGGGAGTACCTGATAAAAACAAATCCAATGGGCTATATTTTAGGGATGGAAAATGCCGGATTGATTACATTCTGGTGTACAGAAAATCTAGCCCACAGACAGAGAAGAGAGAGGTATTTGAAAGAAATATCAGAGCAGAAGGACTACAAATGGAGAAAGAGGTAAGAGAATTTTTATGAAAATTTTAAAATATAAAACTCTATAGATTAGTAGGGCCTGATTCTCATTTACTCTAAGGCAGTGATATTCACACTGAGGCTCAGGAGCCGCAAGTGGCTCCTTAATGTGTTTCCTGTGACTCTTTGCAAGACATGATATGTCAAACCACTTTCTGATTTAATTATTAACCAATCAGGATGCTTTTATTATTTTATTAACCAATGGTAGAATACTTGGTCATTTTGCTGTGAGAATAATAGATATATAGTAAATGAAACAGTGAATTCACACTACTTTGGCTCTTTTGGGTAATGTTGATCTCTAATTTGGTTCTTGAGCCATTGAGGTCTGAGTATCACTGTTCAAAGGCCTCTTTACACTGCCCTGGCAGAGGAAAGGGGTCTTAAAGTGGGTGTCAATATACAGAGCAGTGTAAATGGGTCCTAGTGTAAATGAGAATCAGACCCACAGATTTTAAGGCCAGAATGAAACACTAAGATCATCTTGTCTGATCTCTAGCATTACACAGAATATAGAATTTCATACAGTGACCCCTGAAGTTGAGGGAATAATTCTTCCCTACCATATAAGTGAACACTATCAAGCCTTCAACTGTATTTATTTTAGCAGGGGCAAAGCTTATAAACGTCATACATGGGTAAGTGGCTTAGTAACATGAGGAACATACTTAAACATGTCTCTTCAGATGTGCACATTTTCTGCCCATCCCCCACTCCTTTTTACACTTATGAATAAGTTAGTGTGCATGGAGGGGGCTTGAGTCTCGGTGCCAGTCAGTGTGAAGGACTATAACTAGTACTTAACCTTACTTGTGTCTCATGTACTCTCGCTTGTACCATACAAGGATTTATAGATTCAAGGCCTTCCTGAACTACCTACCATGTGTCTGTTTATCTACCTGTCTTTATACACTGTCCCACTGATTTTTAAAATGCATGTTATCAACCATATGCCTGTAGTTCTTCTGCACATGCCCTTGAACAGCACACTTCCTATCAGAATGCTAACTGGGGGAAAATGGCAGGCCTTTCTCTTTGAAAGGAATGAAAATTTTATACCTATCTGCCTTCCTTTTAACATTTTTTTCTGATGGAACGTAGATATTGTATAGTGGTTATCATTAGAACATCAACATTTACCAGTAGCTACTACATCAAGGTATCTTGGAAATAACCTTCATGTCACAACCGTAGTTTAATGACAGTGTGTTTATTACATAGGTTTCTTGCTTGTACTCACAATCCCCTGTTTCACAGAAGAAATTCAACATCATGTTAACTTGTTATTAGCTAATACAGAAGTATGTGGCTGTTCAGCCCCAGATCACACAATCTGATCTTTCATAAAATAAAGTCAATAACAAACATGTGAAAATATTTTTTGTAGCGTATTAAGTTTTATCAAAGCAGAAGATGAACATGGAATTAATCCTGCCTGTTGATCTGTCTGTCAAATAGTTCTATTTTGAATAACTGTTTTATTTTGAGAAATTTGAAACAGGCTTTGGATTTATTATGGAACTGAGACCAATGGTGAAAGCTACGAAGGCACTATCTTTTCTGTATTATGGACCTTAAATGCAGCATTTTGCATGGGAAACTTTTGAAGTATTTGTCTTTAAGGTACTTGGTATCAACTTTTGAGGTTCTCTCTCTGGTGGCTATACAGTTGTCTTCTTTCAAGTCAATGTGCTTTTATTGGCATTTGCTCTTTTACTGCCTAGAATACAGGTTTTTCTCTGAATGTTCTGCCATCTCACTATTCATTTCAATTTCTCTGTTATGCCATTGACATGCAGCTATATTTCTCATTAATATTGTTTGACCCAATTTGACTTCTTGCTAGAATTAATAATTGGACATCTCTAAATTTAGTTTTCAGAATGATCAAAATGAGGTTGTTACATAGCTCTAGTAAATACTTTTAACATCTAAATGTTTTTTAGAACATATGACTTTGACCTTATAAAATATGTATCTTAGGGTTTAATTTAATCATTTTGTCCTTGAATTGAATTACAATCAGAGGAAATAAGTAGAATTACAGTACCAGTAGCTTTCTCTGTACATTAGCAACCTCCTTAGATAATATCTAAGTTTGAACTCAGTGGAATGACTGGTTAATGCCTTGATTATGTGTCATTTCAATTGCATGGGTCTGTCCTTTGATGAGAGTTCCAGACCAATCTGGGTTTCAGTGCTGGAATGTATAAGTAGCAGCTTTGACTGGTGCTCGTTACTATTACATAATGAACCTGCTTCCAGTGGGAAGAGAGCTAAGTTTACAACTGGAGAAGATGTGAGAGCCAGCTGTCTCCAGTTCTGGCTGCTGAAGGTCAGCAGGTATATCAGTTGTGAATCTTACAGTAAGGTGAACATGGGTTATTCAATAATTTTCTGTTTGGCTCTTGATTGTTTTTCATCTGGCCACTTGACTGTTAGTGATGTTGCTTTGAGATTTTGATATTAGTCCTGTCTGCTTTAGCCTCTTCAATTTGAGATGAAGTGTTGAAAAGTAAACTTTAAGGGCTATTCACGCTACAACTTTGACACCAAATTCACCAGAAACACTGCAATGAAAGGATGGCATATGATACTGGCTACCCTGACAAATGCAAATGATGCAAGAGCCTGTGAAGGCAGTTTTTGAACCAGTAAGACAAATAGCATGAAATGTAAAAGTTAAACCACAAATACAGAGAAAAGAAGAGGCACAATATCAGAAACATGAAGCTGACAAAATCTGGACAGTTCCTGCCTGATGAAGATTATAAACATTTTGCCCAGGTGTACCATCCCCTCAGAATTCTCAAGACAGGTTCCTGAGCTATATTACATGGCTCTCATTTGGAAATTCCACCATAATCTTATTATCTTCAACAATAAACAGTGAGGAGGTACTAGCATGAACAAGAAATCCTTAAATCCCAAAGTGATTCAGATATAAAGGGCAGAGCTGTGATAGCAGTAATTAATCTGAGTGGTCATGAGTTCACAAATGGCTAAACTCACACACTGAGCAGCACTGGTGCTGATTTTTATGTGATGTTAAAATAAATATTTTTTTCAATGTATACTGAATTGGAGATCGTATTACTGTCTTGTCCCAGTTCGACCTGGGTCATAGCCAATACATCTGTGACTGTGATATACAGAGGTTCTAGGTATTTAATGCAAAAGCCTAACATATGTTTTTAGGACTTTCCACTCCAGAGATAGACTATATCTTTTTTTGCAGCCAGATACCAAACTTTCTCGTATTGATTTCTATTTTATCTTACATGGTCTCACAAATGATGTGAATAGCTGTGTTATCTGGGTCTCAGGATTCTTATCACCCCCTATTGTTCAGTTTATACAACTAGATGCCAAAAAAAAAGAATTCAAGTTCCTGTATTTAATGGACAGCTCAAAGATGAGAATACTGAGTTTGTCTGTCAATACAGTTTCAGTGATTTCTATAACTACTGTATGGGAATCTTGTGTGGCCTATCAGAGAATTCTAATTGGAAAAATATTAATGGAAAAAAAGTAATTAAGAGGCTTGTGTTCATATATTGAAGGTACTTCTATCTCAACGCATATCTGATACATGAAAAGATCCTTATGATACCTAGACACTCAGAATAGATTCTATTTGATTTCAACTCAGTTTATTTTTTCTTTTATTATAGTTCTCATAACTTATATTACAGTTCTATAGCTTTAGTATAGTTCTTATAGTTACTGCATATAGAATTGTTTTTGCTTACTAACATCCTTTTATCCAAATTTTTGAGTACGCCATTCATAAAATGAATGGGAAAATGTAGCTTCAGAAACATTTGCGTGATGATAAATGTGTATATTGAATTTGGTTAATTTTGAGGGGTGAAAGTCTTAGCTGTCCTCCCCATGGACTGAGTTCAGAAAAGGTGGCTTAAAACTACGTTTGCACCTTCCTAATTCTGTGCTGCACTGCAGTACCCATTAGACAGCCCTAGGATCAGTCTAAATTAGGGCAACCTGTCCCTTGCTGCCCAGGGGCCACAGTGCTGCTCTGAAGCATTGTATCCATTCCCAATGCATCCCTTACATCCTCAGCCACATCCCCAGTATGCCTCCTACTCTTGTGAGTTGCAAACATTTTAGTACAGCAGCTCCCTTGTAGATATTTTAAAATGTGGTGTCGCCCTACAACCAAATACTGTTTTTTGGTTTGTTTCTTTTTACTGACACAGGACACTAGATTCAAGAGGGTCTTTAAAATTTGGACAATTTTGTGACTTGTCCATCACACGGTTTGTTTAATTCTATAATCCAATTGCGGCAGTGCTCACTCATCTTTAGTGTGCCCCCTTACGTCGGTGTGGGATGTTGCCACTATCTTCAGCTCCAGCACCTCCTGAAATCTGCTGCCACGGGCCCTAGGTTTTCTGTGGCTCCACCCAAGTCACATACATTCAGACCCATTCCAGGGTAGCATAAACAAATCCAAACAAAAGTCCAAATGAATAATTCTTCTGCCCTCTTGGGCTACCGAAGTCTTCTCTTCTCTACTTAAAAACCTTATCTCAGGGCTCCCTCCCACAGAAGCCTACTTTGCTCCCACTGTGAGTTTCCCTCTGTAGAAAAGTCCTGCCTTCCCCGCAGTCTCTCCCTAGATCTTGCCTCTGTTTTTCCAGGGCCCACCATGGCGACCAATCCTGTCCTTCTGGCATGGGAATGGTTTTCAGTGCTGTGGCTGCTTGTTCCCCAATCATAATTCTACACATGTCTATTGCTGCTGGAAATAGAAGGGTCTTTCCAATGGTGTGTGCTTGTTTGTATTTTGTAACCTTCATGGCCACAACATAAGATGCTTCTAAGTCTTTCTGGGGAATAGTTGCTTGTTTAGACATGACTTTTTTTTTTTTTTTGCTAATGCTTCTCATTTGGTGGAAAAAAATCACAGCTCTTATTTACGAATGCTTGGTATTTGGTTTCTAAATGCCTCTGTAGTT